GCAGACCTCTATCACTAAGTCACACCTCAGCCCTTTTTGCTTTAGTTCTTTTTCAGGCCAGCCTCAGATGGCGATCCTTCTTTGTACATCACCCATACAGCTGGAATTTCAGGTGTGCACCACTGTGCTCGTATTTTTAGGGAGCTGTGGTGACCCTAGTGGGCAGCCAGGTTAGGGAGCCGCTGTGAGCAGATCAGCCACTGTCCCCTGGAGAGTCCTGCAGGAGCTCTTCTGTTAGTCCAGTGTGCTCCCAGCATGCACTGTGGCTGCCCTGGGCGGCAAGCTGCCTGCTGTACCAGAGCTCTTGGTGACCAGTGACCAGTAGGGCAGTACCTCATGGGGAGGAATGCTTAGTTGTCTTCACTCTCCAGCTGGGATCCCGGGGCTGGCCTGTTCACCGTGCCAGCTCTTCCCCTCTGCTCTCACGGTGTCCTGGCCAACTGTGGCTGAGTGCACGTATACACACATGGGTGTGTGTGCTGTGGCTGTGGGTACACACGATCATGTGTCCATGGGGCTGGTGGGGAGAGCGTGTCCCACTCCACGTGTGCCCCTGATCCCTGTCCCTCCCCTTCCTGCCATCACCCCACATCTCGTCCTTTACAGTGTCTTCCGGCTGGTGGCCTGTCTCTGTTCTTGGCCCCTGGAATTTTCCATAAGGACCAAGTGGGCCATCCCAATGTTGGTCACTTTACCACTGCTTCCTCACCTGGCTCAGTGTAACAACCAGAGACTACTCCATAGCCACCTGCATGGCCACCTGCATGCCTACCCCTTCCTCTCTGAGGTGTCCCACCTCCTTCCTCAAACCTAGAGCACTCTCCTGCCTCTGGGCCTGTGCTCTGCTGTGCTCTCCACCTGCAATGCTTTTCCTGCAGGTGCTACAGACACCAATGCCGTCCCTCCTTTCCTGGGGTAGAAGCAGGGAACAACCTCATCAGGGGAATTTCATACCCCCCCTCCCCTGCCATGCATATAGTTCCTCCACTAGCCACCAACACACTCCCCACACATCCAACACCACACACACCACACACACCACACACACAACACACACATGCCCTCCCACCCTCTGTACTTTCCTGAGCTCTTAGCCAGTAGCCATCTTGGTGCCCTTTGCATCTCCTCCTAGGTCCTGTCACACCTACTCCACCCAAAAGACCATGTGCAGTGGCCCTCCCTTGACTGCCAGGCCTGGCCTGGGTCTCCCGGGGCCGGGTGCTGGGGAATGAGGGCAGTTTGGGCAGGCCTCCCTCAGGACACCATCCAGAAGACATGGACTCCCTGCTAGGATCTGTGATGTCCTCACTTTTCTGACCATATATCATTTGCTCTGCCACCAGCCTGCCTGTGACTGAGAAATCAGTCAGGTTGGCTGAGTCAGGTGTCCCCACCCTATCAACCGAGATGTGTCTCCTGTCCCAGAGGCGGGCTGGATCAGTCTTGGCTCTTAGCATGGACAGGAAGGGCTCTGGATTTATATTTGGAGCCCAGGGTTCTCGGCTCTGCAGGGCCAAGGCTCTTTGCAAAGCCCCTGTCCCCATCAAGCTGGTGTGTGCAGTCACCTCCTACCTGCCCTCCTCTGGGCACTCTGAGGACAGACACCCCTAGAGCATGCAGCCAGCACTAAGGACAAGGGCACCAAGGGCCATCTTGTCCAGTACGGGAAGTGCAAATTAGTTCCAGCTACAGAAATGAACAGTGACCTGCTTTCTTTGTTGTGGGAACAGAAGTTCTCCCTCACCCAGCAAGGACCAAGTCAGCCCCCATCCAGTGAAGGCCAGCTGTTTGTTGCCCAGCATGGTCTGCACAGTGTTTCACCTGGGCCCAGAAGATACCGCGAGTTGCGATGCTCCAGCCTGACTGTGGTTTTCCCGACAGGGTGGGGAAATGTGGCCCAACTCCTCCAAGTCTGTGGTTTAGACTTTCTGCCTCCGCTAGCTTCCCAGATGTCCCAGCCCCCGCGTCATGTGTGCTCTGGCTGAGGATTATCTGGGGACAAGATGGCAGGGTGCAGAGGTGGGGGTGGGGTGGGTGGGAGGATGGAGGGGTGGTGCTGAGGCTCCAGCTTCTCTGCTCGCTGTCCATCACTGGACACTGTGTTCTCCATCCCAGGCCGCAGCGGGTGCTGTTGTCAGTCAGGTTTGGAGTGTGAGACAAGACACACAGAGAAGTGAGCAGGGCCCACCTCACTCAGGAGCCTCAGCGGAACCCTCCTCAACGCCTCCCCAACCTAGGTGCCTCCCTAAGCTCCCTGATCACAGGGCACCAGCAGAGGGAAGGAGCTGCTGCATTGCTACCCCATGGGATGGGGGCCACTTTGACCCCAGGGCTCGCTCTCTCACTTAGTTCCTCCTGAAGCTTGCCTGGGGGGAGAGGCCCTCTGGGCTGGGATATTATAATGGTGGCATTACAATGCTAAGTCCATTGTTAGAAATCGCCCTGCCCAGATCTGGGGCCAGCCAAGGAGAAGGAGACTCAAGCACAGGTGTGAGGCTGCTCCAGGAGGGACCTCTGCCCAGCTGGCCCCTTCGCTCCTGGTCCTCCAGTTTCCAGCCTGACTCTGTTCTCAAGAGAGGCTCCTCCCATCCTCCCAACCTAGAGGTGCAGCTGGGGAAGGGGGACAGCCTTCTTGCTACATGCTGCCCAAGATGGTCCAAGGGTGAAAGACACATCAGTCACTAGCTGCTGCAGGTCACCGCTCTCACAAGACAGTCAGCTTCCCACTTGGGTGTTTCCAGACACCCATGCCAGGCTCCTCTAGTCCTGCATTGCCTGTGCCCCTCATCTGCCCTGCCTCTCCCTCTGGGTTCTCTTGTAGGACCCTCAGATCGATCAGGCTTTGATGGGGTCGCTCCATTAGTGTCCCCTTCCTGAGCTACTCTCTCTAGCTCTCACGAATTTATTAGGCAACACCTGAGCCCACTGGGAGGCTTTCAGAACTGATGCGCTGCTCACATCAGATCGTGATGGCTAACTTCTGGCTGAGGAGTCCCAGGGAATCTCTCAATTTGATTTTAAAGCTGTTGATGCTGACTGAGAAACTGTTGCCTCTTCCAACCACGCAGATCCTCAAATGCTTGGACTCTTTCCTGTGGATCTGGGCAGGTTCCGGGCCAGCTCCAGGCCGAGCTTACACCTCTCATGCAGTGCCTTGCCAGACACAGACGGTCGCAACCGGCCTGCCCAGCCATCATCTCATCTCCCAATCCCTTCCCCTGGGGCTACGAGCTATTGGCTGGTAATCTGCCACCAAGCTCTTGAGTTATCAAATACCAGTGTCACCAAATGCTGTATCTATGTCTCGTGTGTTGTTGACAGTCCTCCACCATGACACAACAATGTGAAGATTTTCCCTCTGTGGTGGCTGTAAGAGGAGCTGCCCCCTTCTGAAGGGAAGACCGCAGGAGGTCCATGTATCCCCAAAAGATGTCAATTAACCAGAGGGAAAAATGCCCCTTCTCCTTCCCAAGAAACATCTGTTTGCACCCAGGAGACATTTCTCCTTCAACATCTGTCCTGCCAAGATCTCTGCCCTTGGGCAATAAAAAAAGCTATAAAATCCAATTTCCAACCTGACCCAGGGGACCACCAGTTGCTGGGTCCTGTTGCATGACCCCATGCAGCCTTTCCTTTCTCTTTTCTACAAATAACACCTCTCTGAACTTTGCTGCTCAAGTGCACCTTTGGTTTCCATCTAAGAGCAGACCAAGGACCCTCACGACCCGAGCTCCCCTGTGTATCACTCCATGGACAGTCCTTTACGTCTAGGACAGTGTTCCCAAAGATGACCATGCTGGACAGCCACCTGGTGGTTTTGGAAAACAAATGATTAGGCTCTCCTCCCAGACTGTTCAACTTTCCATGTCTGGGTGGGCTTGGGGATCTGCTCTTCTGCTGCTTTGTGTGTGCGCGCATGTGTGCGTGCATGTGCGTGTGTGTGCATGCGTGTGTGTGGTATTGAGGGTTGAACTCAGGGCCTCAGGTTTCCTAGGCAGGTGCTCTACCCCTTAAGCCACAGCCCTTTTTGCCCTAGGTATTTTTTCAGATTCAGGCTCCCTTTTTCACAGAGGCTGGCCCCAGGCCACGATTCTCCTCCATCTCCTGAATAGCTGGGATCACAGGCACTCACCACCATGCCCACCCAGTGGTCTGAGTTATCTTCAGTAACAATCCCCACTGTCAGTGGCTTAAAAAAACACAACCTGTTTCTCCAAACCAGGCCCAAAGTCGTGGCAGACTTGGGGGTAGGGGAACAACAGATCTGTGAACGTGGCTGATGACATGCAAGAGGGAGCCAGGCACCTGTGCTCAAGGTCACTGGCTGAGTCGTGCCATATGGCACCATGCCATAAGGGGCCAGGGAGTCTAATCCTGCCACATGGCTGGAAAGACACCACTAGAGAGCTGTGGGGGAGTCCCCTCAGGGCACTGACTGCCCAGGGTGAAAAGTGGGGGAGACAGTGAGCCTGGTGTATTGTCAAGATCTGAACACAGAGAGCTGTTGGAGCTCACTCAGGAAGCTTTGCAGGCTGTACTGGCCACATGCCAATGTCCTCTGCCAGGCCAGGCAGTCCTTCCTTCCTCACCCTGTGACACTGCCACCATGTGGACATCATAGCGTCCTAGGAGGAGCGAGGTCCCCTTGAAGAAGACAGCCAACCACGTCTGCTCATGGTGGAAACAGTCAACTTGGTTTATTGAGAAACTGTTACAATGATCCTTTGTTACACAGGTTTAAAATATTTTCAAACTTGAAAACTCTTTCCCAGGGAAGACATTTAAACCTATGATGTCTATCTGACGTGTAGAAAATGTACAATGTGTTGCTTGGTGTTGTACTTTAAAGGCCCAGTGTCCTATTGTATCATAGGTTTCTGTTTATTGTTTTTCTTTTTCCACCACATTTGCCCACTTACAACTATGGAAAGGGAAAAATAAAATCACACCAGAAGAATGGCTGCAAATATAAGAAGTAATTTTATTGCAATATACCACAGCTAAAATGGTCTGGGAAGAACAGGACATGTTTTGGACTTCAATACAAATTACGACAACTTTGAGGGGACCAACAGAAAAAGAAAATGACGGAACAAAAGGACAAATTGCATGGGTGAAAGGTCGAAACAGAATCACATGACCTAGACAGAGTCCACAGGGCATCAGGTGGCAATCCTCCAAAATGACTTTTTCATGGTGGACACGGATGCATGCTGGCATCCTGGCCTTGGAACATTCTCCAAACCAGACTTTCCTTTGGCAAGAACAAGACTTGTTTTCCAGGGGACACTGGGAACTGGCATTGGTGGCGTGTGGTTTTCTCCACAGCAACCACATTTGGGGGGGAGGGGGATGTGGGGAGCACCAGAGCACAACAGCTCCTTCCCAGGGCCCAAGCCTTTCCCTTTCCTATGGTGGAAGGAGGGGACGCAACAGGAAGGCAACATTCATAGTAAGGGGCTGCCCTTCCCCGCCAGCCCCGGGGTCTTCCTGTCCACAGAAGGTAGCCCTCGCCCTGGAGAATGAGGGAAGGGGCAGCACCCAGAGGGAACCGTGCCAGCCCGAGCTGATGGCCCGCACCCAGGACACCTGCAGGTGGAAACCCACGGCTTTCACTGACAGGAGGTGCTGCCTCAGCCCTGGAGACTCAGTTCATTGCACATTTCTCGGTCTGCCTGGCCACGTGCGAGGCAGCCTGGCGGGGGTGCACATGGGGCACGAACAGCTTCCGTTCAGTCCTTGGAACAAACACAAAATTAGCACCAGGAGCAATTCGGCAACCGAACACAATCTGCCATGGTTACACCGTGTACAATGCAGGACGCCTATGTTCTGTGTGTGTGTTGCGTGTGTGTATTTTCAAATCAAGTAGGCACAAGGTAGTGCTGACAGGACTCTGGAGGGACACCCGCCACCAAGCATGTGGGACAAGCAGCCACTCCTGAGCCTGCTGGGAAGGAAGGTGGAGGGCACTAATTTTCAGATCCTTGGCAAAGGTTAGGCTGTAGAGCGATGACCAGGATACAGGGGGATGGGAGAATGAGCTGCGGCCAGGGACCCCAGTGTTGCCTTCCAGGACATCTCAGAACACATAGCACCACAAGAAAGGAGGCTAAAAAACAGCACCAATGTTCGTAATTATCTCAACAGAACGAGGTTTCCCTGCCCGGACGCTCTCCTGTCAGGCTCTGCAGGAAGGAAAACAGGAGCAACCACAACTCATTTATGCTGCCGTGCTTTAGTGTAAGTGCATGAAGAAAAGGCACAGTATTAAAATCTCTTTCTTCCCCCTGAAAAATCCAGAGCTAATAATAACAACAAAGTCTGGAAAGGGGCCCTGGGACCTGCAATCTCAGCAGCGGCATGGCTTCTTGCTGACCTGGGCGAATTTCCAATTTATTGCACGTTCTTGATGGGCAGGGTGGGGAGACTTCCAGCTTCTAATCAGGACTGGATCACAACCCAGGCGATACCTCACCCCACCTGCCCGGTCTCCCAGTGGGCCTGAGGCTGGGTTTCCACGCACGATGATTGAAAGTCAGGCACGCTTAACGTTTATAACAATACAATAGAAATATTTACTTAAAACTCACAAAAACATAAGCACCTTTAATCCATCAGAAAGGCACATGCAGAATGACATTTGGCCTCTAAGTGGATCTTGTTGAGTGTTGTGAAAAACCGAGGCTTCGGCGACCTTTAACCAGGCTGCCTCAGATCATCTTTTGAAGGTCAGGGGAAATACACATCTTCAAGTTGAATTTTAAAAAAGTGACATCCAAACACTGCAGCCCCTCCCCCACCCCCTGCAAAGGGTCCATGAATGCAATGATCAACCATCAGGTGGGCAAGCGAGCCGGGGGCCAGGGTGTGGGGCCCCCTCCCTTCCCCGTGGCATGTGGTGTAGAGGATCGTGAGGGGTGGCCAAGAGGCTGTGCTGTGGCTAGGTCATGTGATTCGGCTCCATGGGACACGGCTGGCTCTTTCCCTTTGTTCTCTCTGGGTGTGGGGTCCAGTGCCACACGGTGCCAAGGCGCAGAGGAGTTGGGCGGGCAGGGGCGAGAAACCTTCACTGTTCAGGATGGCCGTGCGCAGGACGCTCACAAGCAGCGTGCTGAGGTCACGAGGTTGCTCGGGAGACCGGGGCTCCACAGCTCCTAGCCCAGGAAGCAAGCCGGCCCCACTTCAAATCCAAATTTCTGTGATGGGTCACCAAAGTCATTGAACATGATGTCGACGATGGGCACTTGCTCCACTTTTGGGGTGTCAATCTCCAGAACCGTTTTCTGATAGCCTTTCTTGGTCTAGGAAGGCAGAAGCAGGTGGAGGAGGTTAGTCCATAGCCTTTTGGGGTTAACCCACCACCTGGCTCCAAAAATCTGGCTGGGGTCCCCTCCATCCAGTTCCCCTCACTCATAAAGAGACATGCAGGCAGCAGACCTGTCCTTGGCATTCGTTAAGCATTGGAGAACATCCACAAACCCTGCTTAGTCTGGGGGTGTAGGAAATGAGCATCAAAAGGGACGACAGGACTCTCCCAAGACTCAGGAGGCAGGTGGCAGCTCCCACCCCATCTCCCAACACTTCCCCAAGGCAGCTCCTGCCAGGACTGGCTACAGAACATGTGGAGTCTGCTGTAAAATCAAAACGAGGGGCTCCCTGCTCCCAAACGGGGAATTACAGGATGGCAACAGCAGAACATAGGACCAAGCAGAGCACAGGGCACTTCTCAGTGTGGGGTCCCCGAGACCTGCCCCTCCCCCACCAAGCCCACACCTGTGAGCCCTAAACCCAGCGGAATGGAGATGGGGGAGGGGGAAGGAAGGGAGTCCTCACACCATCTATTCCAGCAGAGTCCAGGTAAACTGAGGCACAGATGGACCATGATGGCTCAGTGAGCAAGTGGCCAACTGGAAGGGTCAGTGCCTGTCCCGTGCTCAGACCAGCACAACTCGGGAGTGGGACGTGACCCCTCTAATGGAGAGCAGAGTGGACTCAGCAAGGGGCAGGTATCGGGGAGGCCCCTCACTCACAGGCCGTGTGCTGCAGCATGGAGGTAAGTACAAGATCACTCTGAGGCCAAAGTCCCCAGTGCCAGCCCTGACTCAGCTCAATACCTGACGGCAGGGGTGCGTCCCAAACTCACATGCTAGAATCTCTAGGTGATGGCAGAAGGTGGGGTCTTAGGGAGTGAGTAGTTCATGAGGATGGAGCCCTCATGGTGCCCTTACAAAGTCACCCCAGGGAAACCCCTCACCCTCTCCCTGCCATGCGAGGACACTGCTAGACGTCTGCAGCATGCAACCCAGAAGGCCGTCCCAAGAACCCCTCCGCTGATCTGAGTTTGGACTTCAAGCTGCAGAACTGCAAGCAAACAATGCTGGTGTTCACGAGCCACCCAGGCTACGTGCATTGTCAAGGTGGCTGAGCCAGACCTGCCCAGTGAACTACTCCCAGGTTTCTGACCGCAGAAGCTGAGTGTGAGACAACTCCTATTGTCCTACGCTGCTAAATTTTGAGGGTTAATTTGTTACCAGCAACAAATCACTAATACTCTGTCTGTCCTCAAGGAGAAAATGGAAAAACACAGTGACTTCAAGGGGGGAGGGTGATAGGATGGGGAGGGTGGAGTCGGGATATGGGGTAGCACCCCTGTTCCATGCACGACTGGCACCAGCTTGGAGTGTTTCTCCTCCAACATCCACTTGACCCAGACCTCATCCTTCCCTCAGCCCCATCCTGATAAGACCACCCGCTGCAAGGCCTCCGCGGCTGGGAAGGAGGAGCAGCTTTAAAGCTGGGTTAGAGCTGCAGAGGAAGTGCGTTTCTCCAGGGACGGGGCTCCCCTTTGCACCACAGGCTCTGCTCCCCCCACCCCCAGGAGTTGGGGGCGAGATCCAGAAGCTGCCTTTATTAAATGGGTGTCTCACATAATTTCAAAAGGCCCCCTGTTCTTTAAGAAACACCTTCTCTGGCTGGAGGTGTGGCTCTAGTGGTAGTGCTTAGTGAGGCCCTGAGTTCAAGGTCACCAGGAAAAAAAAAAAAGTAACACTTTCTCACTGGGCAGCAAGAGAACTCAGCAGCACACATTCTGGTGGCCACAAACACCATGGAACTTCTGGGAGCCAAAGCCTGTGGCCGCCTGGACAGGCAGGATCTGAGCGGCTGCTGAGGCTGCTCATGTCTGCCTCAAGGACTGACCACACCTCTCCACTTTTGGGGAGAGGGAAGTAGGGGTTAGGTGCACCCTGTACCTGCTGGCAAGAACTGGGTGCTGGACACCCACACTCCTGCAGCTACCCTGGGAGGAGCCGAGACCACCTCTGTTGTCTACACTCCACCCCTTGGGCTCACTCCCTCTCCTGGTCCTACCCAGAGGATCAAACGAAACCATGGGCCTGGCTCTGGAAGACAGTGCCATCACAGTGGCTGTACTTTGCTTGCCAGTGAGCTGACACAAGGCCACACCTGGCCCTAATCTTCCACCCCATGGGGAGGGGAAGGGGGAGCCACTAGGCCCTCACAAAAGCAGCATCCATCTCTCTCCCACCCAAGGGATGGCAGGTGATTTCCCTTGGATTTATGGGGCCCCTCCGCTCCAATTATCAGAGTGCTTAGAGAGGGGCATATTTAAAGTAGGCTGCTGCTCTGTTACCCCGTTATTCAAGAGGCATAAATAACCATTATGGGTTAGTGATGGGCCCCCAGGGGTGCACAAAACTGCACAAACAACGGGATTTATGTGGAGCGGTTCCTTGGCCCTCTTGCCTGATGATTTGTGCCCCTCCACAGGGCCGGCCACTCAACAGCCCTGTCAATCAGGCTACACAGCCTGAGCCCGTGTCAAAATTCCAGTTTCTGTGGCTATTATTACAAAATGGATCAAGAAGGCCTCCAGGGCTTGGCAGGCTTTTCCACTACAGGGCATGTGTGCCCTGTAATTAAGCCAAAAGGCTGTGACCTTTCAAATTGTGGCTGAACTTCTCAGGGTTTTTGGTGGACACAGCCTTTTCTGGTAGAGGCCACTATTGCCTCAGGCTATTCCCCTGGAGCACCCCTGCACCCCACCTCCACACACTCTTGCCCATCCACCTGACTTTCTTCAGCAGCCAGCCTGCAGAGCCAATTTTTTCCATCAGCAGGTGATTCTGCTTTGAGCCCTTCTCTCTCACCCCTTCAAGGATCTTTTTCTTCCCCCAGAAATATAAAAGGAAGGGAGCTCCTTTCCCGTCCTTCCTCAACCCCATGTCCAGCTGGGACATTCTCTGAACCCTACATCTTGCCTCTGCATCCAGAGATACTCAAAGGACTGTCAGAAAAGACCTGGATGGGCGGGGGGGCAGAACGTATGACATGCTTTCCTCCTGCGTTGCCAGAGCTCAGGGCAACTTCCTGGCCAGGACATACTGTGACCAGATCTGATGGCGCCCAGCTGCTCTGTCAAACAGTGGTGTGGAGGCTGCTAATCAGCCAGAGCCAGAAGGGACCACAGATGGCTCATCTGACCCGGAAATCCATGGGACAGGACCTTTGTGGTACCAGGGGCCAAGAGCATGTGGCCTGCTTGACCCTCGAGCTGAGAGACAGAGTGCTCTGTCTGCAGACACTGGCTCCCAGGGGGCACTGCTGGGTCAGCCTGGATGCTGGGCATGGGGCAAAGAGAAGGGGGTGCAGCTGACATCAGCTTCGGCCCTGTGGGAGCTGGTGTGGTAAGAGGTTTTGGGCAGGTTCTCCCAAAAACAAGTGAAGAAGAGACAGGGTGAGATGTCAGGATGTGACAGCAGGATGTACAGCTAGGCTTCCTGGGTGACCCTCAACCTCTAGCCTCTATGAGGTCACACCAGGGGACCTGTCTGGATTTCAACAGGACTGGAGAATGGTACACAGCTTCCCAGGATGGAAGGTCACATCCCAGACCTTCGTGACCCCAGGAAGTGCATCCCAGTGGGCAGCTCACTCTGGGTAAGAAGGTAAGTATGCCTCATGGAGGTACCAAAGTGGAGGCATGGGGCCAGGTGTGAAAGCCAGCTCCAGCCCTGCCTAACTGCGCTCAAGCTGCCTCTCACCTCTTGATTTGGAGATTTGAGCAGAGCCCTCCCCACAGAGAGACACTAGTGTGGGCTGTGTTCAGAAGAGCTGCCAACGGCCGTGACAACCCTTCCTCCCAGTCACTGTCACTCTCAGGATCTCCCAAGCACTTCCCAGAGGCCCTGTTCTCAGGAGACGCTCAGCCTCGCTTCGGACCACACCCAGAAAAGAGCTACCTGAGGAGAGGGAGGGTCTGCATTTGACTTGGACCTGCCTGGCTTGGCTGATGGCTAGGGACTGTCTGGACCCTCCCTGCATCCCCAGCAGGCAACTCAGTGCCTGGCACACTGAAGGGGCCCATGAATTTGTGTTGACTGGGGAGTGGGCCACAGGAAGGCAGTGGCGTTACAGCACAGAGGCTGAGTGAACACTCACCGCACAGCCATCCACCAGGGCGCGGATGTAGGGACTGTTGTCATAGGACATTTCCTCATCATTGGAGCCCAGGAAGCGGATGGCCTTGTCGTAGCTGCCCGTGGCGGCGTCCTGCCAAGCCACTGACTGGTAGCAGTTATAGGTGACGTTTTGATGGGCAGAGGCACTCAACAGCCGTAGGAAGGTCATCTGCACAACGCCCACAGGGTTGCCCTCGGCGTCCACATAGGAGAGCTGGGGACAGGGACAGCAAGGAAGGGATCAGAAGGGTGGCGGACACAGAGCAATGGCAACAGAGCCTGGTATCTCACACAGCTGGACTTTACTCTTGCTGCCCCATCCCCGGTGCTTCCGAGGGCACTACCTGTAGCCCTGAAGCCAGTGCAATCTCCTGGAGACTCTTAAGGACAACGTGAACCATACCTCATTTCCTTCAGAGACTCAAATAATCCACCCACTGCCCCTTGCCTGGCTGGCCCTGCTTCTCTGGGCTCAATGCACACGCTGCACTTGACCAGCCCCCCACCGAGGCTCTCCTGGTCTTCACCACCAGACTGAGTCAGGCAGGGCTCAGTCTCCCTTGCTAGTGTCTCCCTTGTTCTCTCCTGGGCACAGTTCCTTCTGCCTCGGCTGGCGAGCCTGATGAAGGTTTGCCGCATGGATGAATGGAGGACTCCTGGAGGCAGTGGCTAGCATTTCCTAGGCCTGATCCATGGGCAGTGGCCCACTTCCTTCACTCCACCCACAGAGCTCTCCCCTTCTGCCATCCAGGATGCCCTGCTGGCCTCTGAGTTGCCCGATGGCCCCCTCCTTTATGGCAGGGTCTGTCCGGTTTGGCCGTGTTGAACAAACAGGGTACCATTCTCAAAAACGTGTTAATATTCAATTTGGCCTTCCATTAAGATGGGGGGGGCTTCAAACCCCCACCACAGGATCAGGGTGCTGGGAGAAGGAGGTGACACCTGGCTTCATCCCCTACTGGACACATAGAGTGAGATCCAGAGAATGGAATTAGGTTTTCTGGAAGACTCTCTGCAGGGCTCCGCCCTCTTGTTCCCTGTGCCTGGAGCGCTGTCTGCCAGCAGGAGGAACTGTGGTGGCCATCTTTGGGTCTCAGCCAACATTCCTCACAGGGAAGACCAGCCCTATGGTGGCATATGCCCCTCTTTTGTGTGTAGGCCCAGCCTCCCTCTGTCCTGTCTCACCAGGACTGGTCCTGGATCCTGGGGACCTGGTATCCCATCTGTCACTCTCACTGGGTCACACTTTCCATGAGTGTAGAAGCTGGGCCTGGATGTCCCTGCCACTGGGCCTGGCACCAGCAAAGGAAGGTGTTCATGGACTCATGTGAACAGATGGAAGGCTACCTACAGAGTGCCCAGGATGTACAAGGCCCTGGCCAGGGAGCCCATGAGACTCATGAAGTTAGAGAGGACATGCGCCACATCCAGGGGTGGCTCCAGCCAGCTGGCATGACCCAGCACCCCCTGGGGCACAGAGGTGTCCTGGGATGATACCTTGCATGGCCTGTCTTTCATTTCCCAGAGACGAGCTCCTAGGGCAGTGAGTGGCCATCCTGCAGGACATTATGTAACCATGCCAAATGGGCAGCCTAGGACTCAGGTAACAGGGGCTTCACTGGAAGGCCCCACTGTCTACAGCAATTACAGGATGGCTTCAGGAAAGGGCAAGGTGCCACATCTCAAGCAGCTTTTCCAGTGCCACTAGCTGGTATCAGAAAACCAGGTTGTTATGCCCTGCCAGAGTCAGGGCAGGCACAGGTGTCCCAAGAGGTCAGTCTCAATTTCTGTGCTTCTTTTGCAGACTTCAAGCTTTCCAAAACACTTTGTCATGGGGGACATGAAACATCTCAGCTCCCAGGACAAAGTACTGCTTCTCCCAGCCTGACAGACAGAACCCCAGAGAACTGTCTCCTGAAAAGGCTTGACTAGGCCGGAAAGACAAAGGCCAACATCTGACGTTAGCACTCTCAGCCATGGGTAGTGGCCACTCCAACACTGTTCTATGCTGGCCCAACCCAGAAAGGAGAGCCCAGGTCCATCTGCCATGATGAGGGTCTGGCATGGGGGAGGGGATGCAGGGAGGCTGTGACGACTTCATATCCTGCCTTTCAGTAGTATAATTAGAGCAGAGGGAGGGAGCCAGGCCCAGGACCCCACACCTTCCCACAGGTGGTGGGACACCTGGGCTCCCCATGCTATCAGCAAATTCCATGCCCTCCGACATGGCATCGGCAAGCCCCAAAGCTGGATCCTGTGGAAGAAAAGTGAGTACCAACCGGCAGCTGGGCCATCTGATGCTCCTGGGAGGAAATGCGACTGACTTGAGAGAAGACACGCGCCAAAGGGCAGCAGTGGGCATCACCAGACACAGAAGGACCTGAAGCCCCAGCACCCTGCCCACACTGGAGTCCCCGGGGTCCTGGGGAGGCCCTATAGCCCCTCACGGGCATGTGACCAGAGGGTGGACTTCTCAGAGCAGAGGCCTCCAGCTGCCTCTTGTCCACTGCAAGCTTCATAGAGCTGGGAACACAGCAGTGGACAAGCTGGAAGGTAGACTGGAATTTCCTCCCATCCACTTCCACCCCCATCAACTGTCTGAAACAGGACAAAGGTCAGAGGGGGCCATTTGGGCTGACAGCTGGAAATCTGAGCCTCTAGCAATTTTCTCACAGTGAGAAGAGAAGACCGGAGTAGGGATTCTTGTGAGACGGAAGCCACGATGGGAGGGGAGAAAGCATGGTCAAATGCAGATAGTGACCACCAAGATGGTAGCCAGGACATGTCACCCCACGCTGGGCAGTTTCACCCCATGACTCCTTCCCACCTGGCCCTCTGGCCCACTGTCCCTATCCTTATCCTTCCAGCCCTGTTTATTGGGCCTCCTCCCTTCAGGTCCTTCTGTGTGCCAGTGGCTTTTCTCCAAAGAGAGCAAAATGAAGCAGAGGTGAGGACAACAGTGAGGAAAGGGACAAGAATGCCCAATCCACAGAAAAGAATCAGAAGAGGAGGCCTGCAGAGCTGTGGGCAAGGAGAGCACAGGCCTTCAGCGTGGCTGGACAGGGCTGGAACGCCTTGGGGAGCCACAGGGAGGGTGTGACACATCGATAATGAGCGAGGTGTACCTCAAGGCTAAAGGATGAGGGGTGTCAAGGATGCATGGAGACAGAGAAAGGCTGCTGAAAGCCTTGGCTCTGGGTTCTTGGGGGTGTATGGCCTCTGTGTCCATCCGAGAGGCTGGGGATGGTGCTGGGCTGGAGGGAGCAAACAGGGACTGATGGCCAGGCTGGATGTCCTCTGTGAGCAAGGACCCTTGGGGTGGGGTCCA